AAGTGGTCAAGCCTGGCCCCAAGCCAGGCTCGTGGAGTAGAACAACTCTTGAAACCCTCCCCAGGTATGCTCCAGGTAATCAATGAAATATTAGAGCGACAGAAGAGTGCAAACTTAGTAAGTCTAATAATCAGAGAGTGCGCATTGAGATAGTTCAGTCATATCGAATGCATGTGTGAGAGTGGTTCGAGTGTTTTATTGAAGGGAATTTAAGGGGGTAGGAGGAGAGAAGGGCCAAGGACAGACATGGTGTGTAAATCCAAGTAAGCCCTATAACTAGTTGCATGAAGCAGTACTCCTGTAGATGTTGGACTGCAATGTCATGGTTCCAATTCTACACAATGTTGGTTAGTGAGGAAGACATGGTGAATGACAGTGTCTTTCACAGTATGACACAAGCTTTCTTTACCTACACTGTTCATGGTAAAAACACTACCTACATGCCCTACCTCCATGCAATTACCTCCCACTCCATGACAATGTTAATCATAATGACCATCATGTAGAGCTTCTGTATTATTAGCAATAGTGTCTATAATAAATTACATCATCATATTATAAAGAAGTTACAATTGACTTGATAATGGTCCAGGACGGACCCAAATGTTGCCGTCTCCTCATTTTCTGGTGTGTGGTTTAGTCTTCATTATAAAGAAATATTATTAAATGATATATTTGTAAAGCTTCACCAGCTGGTCAGTGAATCTATGCTACCACAAGTGCTAGCATCCATGTATCTGACACTACTTGTACACATGAACAAAAATTCCAAACTGATTGCCATAAACTCCAACACCACATGATTAATAACTACTGTACTGGCATTTAATAAAGAAAATTGTTATTGATCCAGTGTTAAAATATCAAAGAAAAAATCATAATCACCACAAAGTTACAAATGCAAATAAAGCACACGACTCGAGTATGCCGTGAAGTATTAGTTTTCAAACTTTAGAATAATTAGTATTTGGAAAAAAAATTCCCAGACTAAGCCTCATGATGGGCTACAGCAGATCACTTATGATGTGGAGAGAGTGCATCAAATCTTGGGTAAATCTGTTGAGGCTCTATCACATTATTATTCAAACAAGGCAGATGAAAATGAATACTCTTATAAGTGAGTTTTGGGAACGAGTCAATTTTGAATGCATGTGTTTCAAGTTTTAAAACACTTATTCTATATTGTTGCTCACACTGCTCTCATCAAGTTTGTCTTAGTAAGAAATCTGATGATTTTACTTACATTTAATTTGATTATTTTAAAAAAGATTTGGCGGGTCGATCGTTTACATATAGCATGTGAAAAATATTTTTTTGAGATGCATAATTTTAAGTATACTGTACTATCATTATATTGTTGTTTGAATAAGCATCCATTATACTGTACTTGACAAAGTTAAGTGTATGTGGGCTTTAAATATGAAGCCAATCAATTCAGATGATGATACAGTATTCAACTAAAGTTATGAAATTCCCTTCAGAATAACATTTGAGAAAATAAATAGTAAAATTAAACTTCCACTACTATTTTATCATTACAACTGGTGTACTGTACTATGCAAAAGGCCACAAAACAAGTCACTTGTGCACTTTTTCCTAATCACGCTCAAATACTCGAAGCACGTAACATTGTAGCAACATTTCTAAACAAAACTGTACTTACCCAAGACGACAAAGCTGTTGCCGACTGCCACCGCTCATCTTTCTGTCTTGCTAATAAAGCGAAAATACTCTCAAGACTTACTAGCATCGTGGAGGATATTCATGACTACAGAGACAATATACTGTGAGCTCACAAGTCAGTATGAAGGTGTGTCATGAACCTGCCCAATTTCTACTCCACACACTACACTTCCAATCTAATAATCCTTGATGAACAATTCAAAATTTCCTTCTGAAGATAAAAAATAAAAAAATTAAATAAAAATTTCTATACTAACAGTGCTACCAAAAAAAAAAAAAAAAAAAAAATGGTGGGCATCAAACAAAATGACCACTTTAGTGGCCTATCATATTCTATAATAAAATGTGGTCTGTAGTTCATATTTAGCTTCAATAATGATTACGTACATATTATTCCTGTCAGAGTATAATAATTCCTATCATATTATATATAATAATATCAATCAATATGAGAATCTAAATCTTTCTTTACAGAAAAAAAAAAATACTTCCTCTAGGCATTATGTTCTTTGCAAATTTTTGACAGGAAATGCATTATTTATTAATCTACCACAATCTGGGATTGTACTTACAAAATTAAATTCTGCCAAAAAAAATTATAATCGCATTCTATATTTAAACTTCAAAATTAAGAATTCTAAAAACACATTCTGAGACAAGTGGTTGAATTCCTAGGAATGAAAACTCTAAAGTTGGTTATAAGTTATCTTAAAAGAGGATTTATTCCTACTAAATACTCAAAGAAAAATTTATATTTAAATGATTATAATGCATACACAAATTTACAAGCTATCAATAGCCTGATAATAATTAAAATCTTCATTATAAATTAATAAAATGCCTTGTACCTTGTTTAATGCAAACAATCACGACTTGAAATTTATATAACGGTTTACAAATCAAAACATAATTATATAAATTTTAACTTGAATAAAATGATAAGCTCGTTCCTTAACTAATAATGATACAACATCAAGGAAGATGAAAACATCACAAATAACAAGTGTTAATTTAAAACTGCTGCATTCAAAGGTAACCAAGTATAAGATTTTAAACCATAACCTTTTGATCAATTAATGTTAAGTTTTATTATCGAGCAATGTTCCCATTTTCCATTATAGTTAAATATCAACCTACATGCCAAGGGTGGATCAAGAAGTAAAGGCCAGAACAGTAATAGAGCTTTAAAAGTTCACTAAGTTTCAAAGGAATGAATAATATATTTTCTGTGGGAATGTATAATTACAGCAGCTTGTGAAATACAGTGCTCAGCTCAGTGCTGCAACTTCTATTTCAACACAAACAATAAAATTTGAAGACCATACTGTAAGTACAGTATTGTTTACTGTAAGTGCTTCAGTTTCCATACACAAGACATCTGCAAGGCCAATACTGGTTTATCATGAAGCATCTTAAATGTCTAACAACAATACTGCATCATCAGAGAACTGAATTTGCAGCTTGAGGACCAAAGGTTCAACTGAGCCAGTGTGCTATCTTGAGCATACAGGGGGACCGATAATGGCTTTGCCTAACTTTAATTTGTTTAGCAGCGGCTTCTACTTGAATGCACACATTCTACCCAATTAAGTTATCAATTCTACAATATGAATGGTTTCTTTATCAGGGAACTTCAAAGTCATGTCTTGTTCAGTACTATAATTCTTCACTATAAAACAATGCTAAAATTTAATATACTTGCTAATATTAGCATAAAACAATGGTAATACTTAATATACTTGCCTTGCAAAAAATTGAATGCATTATTAAATGAGATGAGATGGAAGCGGGAGGCAGGGTAAGGATGGTAAGGGGGAGGACAAAAATCCATTGAAGTTAGATATTAAATTAAGTTAGAATTGGTTAGGGACATTAAGGCATCATTAAGTTTGCTAAGGATAGGATAGGTGGCACACTTTTTGGTACAGTATTTCAATAAACAAAACATGACAGTAAACATTTTCTTTAAATCTAACTTTCAAAAGACGATTTGCAATTCAGTATTTCAAGGTTCACACTGCTTTTGCCATATCCAGGTGTCTGTGCATTTTAATGGCCAAATACATATGTAATGTTAGGTTCATTACATTATGCTTCATCCAAATAGCCCAATACACCATGGGCTGCATTCAAATGGCACAGCAGCCCTAAAAAAATTTAATATTTTCCCTGATTGGTATCTGTTTCTGCCCATTACTGTGCTGTATAAGAAAGATTATATTTTTAACCAGAATTACTAACATTTTAATGTTATAAAACAATTTACAAAGAAGTTATTCCTCTCCATAAAAGAAGGTCCTCCAATAACAATTTACATTCTAAAATCCTAATCCCTGTAATAACAAAACATACATCTGCACTCATTTCAACCGTGTCTCAGATGTAAAGTCCTTTGGAATCTTACATCTAGCACTTGCTTATGATACCAATTTTAGTATGCTGTACTAGTTTTTCAAAATTATTAGATATTTGGTTTCCGAGGCTCACCTAGGTATGTAAACACGATGATGCAACGAAACTGAGCACTTTATTCTTTCTGGTCACCAAGCATGCAGCTCTGCTCTACAAAGTCTACACCATAAATTTCTCCTTTTAAATATTGATCGGTACACAAATACATGAAATCCAACAGAAATCATCTTGCTAATTAACGATCAATTCAAAATATTGTTTCACCTATCCATTTTCTCAATATCAATATGCAAACTTTATTTACATTTACTTTGCATGCAAGGAGTACCAGCAATAGACTGACAAAAATGCACTGGGTTCATTCAGCCAAGGAGTGCAGTTTTTGCAGTTAACAAATAATGATTAGTAAAATTTATTATTATGGTAAGACAGGCTGACAACAATCATTTATAATTCCAAGCAATGCATGACATGGATTTTCATGCATAAATTTTGTCATGCATACTGAAGCCTTTTCTTTACATTTTTTGTAAGACCAGTTGCTTAAGCCATAATATTTGTATATGAATCTTAAGAATTATAAGTAAATTCCACTTATAACACTTTAATATAAAATAATGTTGGTTAAGAATTATTCAGAAGAAAGAGAAGAGATCCACCCTTGTCATTTCATCATAGAAGACACAATTACATGATATAGACTGATTTTTAAAATATAATTATATTACTGTATTTTATATTATAGTATAGAATTTTAATTTCTGAATTTTAAAGCAAATCTTGGAAACCTAAAACATTAGTAAAGTTTTCTAATTATTTAGGCTAACTATCACTAATTTTGATAAGAGCATTCAGTGCAATGAAAGCAACAGGTTTTCCTGATGGCTTCGCACCACATCCTATACCTGGCAGGTTGTTGACATATCCACCATCAAGTAGCAAGTGTCCGTCATGAGGATCGCAGATGGGCGGCATGTACCCAGAGAGGGACATGGATGCCCGCACGTACCGCCATGTACTTCCTGCAATACCCACTCATGCTTAATACTGGTGTTTCTTAATACTGAACCTACTATTATGTCTCATGTTTACTTGAATGAAGGATTCCCTTGAACGTCTCTGCTTATACTCTCCTCTACAAAAACTTATGCTGAAACTGTCAGCCTGAACCACTACAAGCTTGAAAAGTTATAAGGAAAGTAAAAGAATAAATTCACCAAACTGAAAAACAAATTTCCTTATTCAAAGCTGAACTTTGACAAGCAAAAGTAACTTCGCTAACATACATTAATGTCCTCATAAGTTGCCAAAAGTTTATAATTTTCAATGCCTGCCCTCAAATATTTCACAAGAGAGAGAAATGTGACACTATAATTTGCAGGTACAGTACCGATATACTTTAGCATGCACTTATTTATACTACTCAAATAACAATATCAACAATAAATGAAAAATATCACAAGTTGGAGGGAAAAAGAACAAAATAGTAATGATAAGGGGTGTAATAGCCTCATGCTTCCTTATGTACATACTTACAGTATTAGAAGATTTATCAATATACAGTATATACTATGTTAGAATGGACTATATATTGAATTCTAAAAAAAAAAAAAAAAAAATGCAAATATTACATATCAATTAAAGAAGAAATTTTCCCAGCACCTACAGTACTAACTACAATTCCAGATATTACAGCTACCTTGTATTCTTTAAACAAAACTATCAATAAAATAACAGATCACTAGCCTGGAGCATGTTACAAAATAAAAGTTACCTAGTGTGGGCACAATATCCAAGAATAACATTAATTCAGCGCTAAGTCAACATAATAAATGATAATTCAATATTGAATCAATGTTGATAACATTGATTCAGTGATGAATTCATTACACTTGGACATTGTGCCCACTGAATATGAAGGGAAGGGAACTATCAGGGGTAAGTGTCAAGCCATTATGACTATATAGCACTTGGAAGGGATCAGGATAAGGATTTGGGATGGGACGGGGAATGGCACCCAACCACCTGGATGGTCGGGGATTGAACGCCAACCATCCAAGTGGTTGGGCACAATTTCTTCCTCCATACCATCCCAAATCTTTATCTGAATCCCTTCCAAGTGCTATATAGTTGTAATGGCTTGGCACTTATCCCTGATAGTTCCCTTCCCTTCATATCCAGTGGGCACAAGCAAACTAAAGATTATTAGGTGAACATATTTTTTCCTTTGAGACTTGAAACATACACTGTAGCTGGGGATACCATTACTTGCCAAACCTTATCTATGAGAAACTCTGAAGCACACCAAATGAACGCATTACTGACTAAATTATGAGCAGTTTAGTCATGGTCTAGTAATTATTCATGCATCTGGGCCGATTCAAAATGCGAGTTCGATTCCACACACACACACACACACACACACCGCTCCAAAGATTTTCTCATACAGTACCTCCTCCTTGCATATGAAGTGCAAGACATCTACTCAGTATTCATGGGGGTGCCCAATGTAGCAAACATTTCGCAGTGCACAGTTTCCAGAACTGCACTTGTATTGATATACAGGCATTACATTAGCACACTTTAGTTTGTCAGAGAAAGAAATTTTATTTCTCATAATGAGGGAAGCGGTACGAGGGTTGTTATAACAAATGACACGACGAATCCTTGTGGTTTACAATTGCATGGTTTGCAATTCTTGTCAATTATACCCCATATTGCTTTTTCATTCTTCTTATAGGCCTGAGTAAATACATTTTTGTAATACAGTACTGTATAATACAATGTTTTCCCATGGGGCCAATTGGCTAGAAAATGGCTAGAAAAATGATGAGAAATCTCGTCAATAGTCAGTTTCAGCAAAGCCCCTACACTATTCACACAATATTTAATATGTCAAGGAGGGCTGGCAGCGCACGTGACAGCCCACTCATGGCTGAGGTGGTCCCAAATGTTTACACAACACAAAAATAAAATGAAGGAGTTTAATAATGCTGCAAAAATATATAGAACAAAATAATATGTAGAGGAACTTCTCAAAACTAGTAATTTTAGGAACTAATATCTCTCATGTTTCTAGAGTCAGCTGATATGTTAAGCTTAATTAACAGATTATTTTGTAGAGAATTTTATGATGGGCTAGATAAGATTCTAGAGTTAGAAGGCGCTAGAAGCTTGAAAGTTAGATTTAGGGGAGTTAGAAGCATGAAAGTTAGATTCAGGGGAGTTAGAAGCATGAAAGTTAGATTCAGGGGAGTTAGAAGCATGAAAGTTAGATTCAGGGGAGTTAGAAGCATGAAAGTTAGATTCAGGGGAGTTAGAAGCATGAAAGTTAGATTCAGGGGAGTTAGAAGCATGAAAGTTAGATTCAGGGGAGTTAGAAGCATGAAAGTTAGATTCAGGGGAGTTAGAAGCATGAAAGTTAGATTCAGGGGAGTTAGAAGCATGAAAGTTAGATTCAGGGGAGTTAGAAGCATGAAAGTTAGATTCAGGGGAGTTAGAAGCATGAAAGTTAGATTCAGGGGAGTTAGAAGCATGAAAGTTAGATTTAGGAGAGTTAGAAGCATGAAAGTTTGATTTAGGGGAGTTAGAAGCATGAAAATTAGATTTAGGGGAGTTAGAAGCATGAAAGCATAAATACAATGATGTATAAATACAACCCCCTTGTATAGTGTGATGTTATATAATTGTGGTAGAGCTCGTGTATACAATTTCCAACAGCACTTAGTAGTGGGCTGATCTGACAAGTAATGTACGAGAAACTCAGTACCGGCCATTGAAAAAAAAAAGATTCTTAATCAGATTTACAGTTGAAACTAATAAGCATACATTGTATAACTTTAAATTTGATAAATTAACTTTAAATTATGTACAATGTAACACTGGAAGCATCTAAACTCCGAGTCTCAAAAGAATGAAATAGCACAAACAATAATATTGTTACTAACTACTGCATAGATCTACTGTAGAGATTTTGAATAATCTTTATTGGAAATACTATTTCATATACCCATTGCATTATAACCGTATCTGGGATATTCATCATAAAAGACTCTTGTAATAATTTGCCCAGCTTCTAAATCAATTATCTTGTGTACTCTATTATCTCACCTCAACTTAAGTTCAACAAGCAATACAGTAATAACAGCAACAATAATAATAATAATAATATAAGACAAACTTAGAGACTTTCAATTAACTGAAAATATTGGTCATGATTTCTTTTAAACATGCAAACATTAATATTACCACGTACTAAATATAATTTTAGGCCATTTGTGCTTAAACAGACTAATTGCCATTTAAGTACAGTTTGAAAAACTTGCTGTTAAATAAAAAATAGATTTCATATAATGGAAATAACATTTTTGAGGAGAAACATTTGATTGTCCCCCGAGATGAATCTACTGTGTCACAAGACAGGATCTTGATGTAGTCAGGCAGACAACATTTCAGCACCAGTGCCACAGGGATGTTCAGGGCTCCAAGACCCAGATCACCTCACGTGATCCCTAACATATGATCCCAAGAGGCATACAAGAAACTGAGGCGAGGAGAAGAAATAAAGAACATAAACCAAGAAGCCTCCGTAGAAACAGGAAAGGCCCTGGGGGAAATTGAGGAAATGAGGGGAAGAAACATCTACCCCAGAGGCAAGTAAAAGAGGCTCTATCATGACCAAGTGGTAGGAACGGGCAATAGTGGGCATTAAATGGCACTCCGTAAAGAGCCAGGACAGAAAGAACATAACCTTTAGTTCAGAAACGGAAGACAGTTGGTGAAGAGAAAAACCAAAAGTACAGCCCAAACAACTCGGATTGGCAGAAGGATGCAAATGCAACACAAATTTTGTGGTACAAATGGTTTAAATCTCAAAACATGAAGATTGGTGGCGAGACTAACAATCTAGGTAAGTGTGATTACCAGTTGTACAGGAGAAGCAGAGGATGGGAACAATGAACAATTGGGGCTAGAAACCCAGGCTGAACTGGTCACAAAGGAACAGGCAGAATGACATAGCCTGATATGTGTCCATAGTCAGATTAACACTGGGGGAGAGGAGCTGGAATTAAGGAAAGAGGTAAAGGATGTTCCACAAAATCCAGTCTAAGTGAAAAGTATCCATGCAAGTGCCTTGCAAGCGGGAAAGGAACCAATATAATGAGATCGATGGTTCCACACAGGCGAAGAGAGCCACCTAAGACAGCAGAACGTCTAGAAAATACTCCTCCCATTCTGGCAAAATTTCTAGGAAATGGAAGAAACTGTCCACAAGAACACATACAACCCTAATGTGGACTGCCTTTCCTGAGGGTCAACCCTACAGGAAAGGCAGTGATTGTTGCCACCTTTGTCGAGACAGTAAGAAGACTACTGATGTCCAATCTAAATGAGCTGGATCTCACAGCCCCATGAGAAAGGCATGCAGTGCCATCCAAACTGCTGCAAACATGCTCAACATGATGTGTGTAAGGGGATCAGAACCCCTGGCTAGTGTAGGGAGAGCTGAAAACAAACCAACTAAGGCCCAATGTGATGGAAAGGAAGAGTACAATGGAACCAAACCCCTGATAAGCTCAAGGAGTAAAATGACAAATCAGAATCTTCCTCAAGTCCCAAAGGAGTCTGCACCATGTAGTTCTGATGGTATAGAGGATTATATAATGACTAGACAAATCAGCTCATATAAAGCACTGAAGGTCTAGATGACCAAGGACTTGTGACTCTAGCCAAAAATGGTGCCACAGTCACAGCAAGGCCAACCACAGGAAAGATAACGAATTATGATCCTTCAAGGACGCACAACTCTAAATCCTTAATGCTTTGTAATGGAAAGTGTTCAAAGTTGATCAATAAATACTACCTTTATCAAAGTTAAAGAAAAATACCCTGGTTTAACTAGGGTATTACAACAAATCATTTTAAGAATTTCCTTGCAATGTTTCCTAGTAATGAAGTAATTATATATCGACCTTATAGTAATACTCTAAAACTGTCCAAGTTCAATTAAAATAAACCCAACCCTGAGCCTACATTTCAAATTTTAATTGATATGCTTTGGTCACTGATAACGGGTAAAGTATGCTAAACAAAAATGATCAACCTACAATAATCACCACCACCATGTTTATGACAAAAAATGGCCTTTGACACTTCCTTCAGATAGTGTCTAAGATATCAACAGTTTTTAAAATAACCTCTGGAATTTTCTTAACTGGATTCATTGGAAACCCACTAATACTAATAATGCACTGCAATAATAAACATAAAAATTCATTTAGATCTGAGGACAATGCTGGATTCTAGAGGTTACTCAACATAAAATAAAATAATAATAAGTGCAATAATGTTGTATATTACCGTGAGTATGGATACGAGGAGCAGAGTCTGTGATGTCGGTGGTAAGTGTAAAATATGGAAGCCAAAGGTCTTCAATATTTGTGTCTCCAAGAGCATCATGGATAAGCTTGTTAAAGCCAGCACCAGAAAACATGGACACTTCTGGATACGTCAGATCTAGAGCCATTCTCCAGATACTAGTCATTTTCTGGAGGTTTACAAGATAAATAGAATTACTTTATTTTATCCTTTCCATGGAATTAAGCTGATGATAAGAGTCAAAAGTATTTCAGCACAAGTAAATATTTAATCTAATGCAATATAGTAATACACAGACAAGGCATTAAGAGCAAATAAACAACTCTTTCTGATCACAATTCATATTTTGGGAAATAATATTAAGTGAACCATATTTGTATTTATTTTTAAGAACTTATCACAAGACTTTCCAATTGCTAAGCTATCAAACAACTTGATAATTTGCTTACCATACTCCATTCACGAGCCTTTTGCGTGACTCTCGTGACATCCTTCTCTAGGCAGTAAAGTGCACCAAAGAAAGCACCAATACTCACACCTGCCACCATATCTATGGGAATTCCAACCTCCTGAAAGCATTAAGACATATTTAATAAAATATGACAATATAGCATAAAATTTTCTGTATAAACTAATTACAAACTGGATAATATACTCACCTATGATTCCTTATATCAAACAAGTGTAAAATAATGATAAATGCCATTACTAATAGATGCACAAATTTAAAACCATATTTTAAAAGTAACTAGACTGCATGTATATTAGTCAAGCATCATAAATGAGAACAGTTTTACTGGACAGGTGTTAAGATATTAGAAAAATTAACCTGCTATCAAAATAATTATATTCCCCCAATTGTTGCCTTGTTGCTACAATACTCCCATTAAATTCAGTGTATTTTGGGCTCAAAAAGCTAACAAATACCAAACCTGGAATCCTTTACATCAGATACTGAAGACATCAGCCTAAAATAATGACCCAACATTACAATGCTAATTAAAAAGGTCTCAAACTGCTGCAAGTGTGTTAGGAAGCCTTGTGTATTTCTCAATTACATGGACACTAATCATTTATATAAGGATAAAATACAATTCTGAACAGTAGTGTCCAAACTAGCTACCAGCTCTAGAGATGACACAGTAGACAGTGAACAAAATCTCACTCATACCAACCTTGATAGCCTTGATCATGCCAATATGCGCTGCTCCTCTTGCTCCACCGCCGCCAAGCACAAGTCCCACTGTAGTTCCTGTCAAAACTCGGGCAAGACGTGAAAAGTCACTATGTATATTAGCCTGAGTTGTGAAGACTTTCTCTGTGTAATACTCAACCTGGGAAAATACAATAAATAATAAATAAAAAAGAAAGTGGAATAAAATAATATACATTAAGTGCTAAAATCCACCTATATTCACCAATCATTTTTTCCCATCTCGTCCAAAATAGGATCAAATCGGTAAACTCACAATTTTAGCAGGAGGCCTTTTCTGAAACATACGCTTCCTCGCTCGGATGTGATGATGCGATTGACACCAAGATCGCATGTTGAGCCATCGCACAGTGCCAGATGGCGATGGACCATCCTCACGATGAAGCAGAATTAAAACCTTCTGAGTCCTAACTGCCATTTTCTCCACGTGTTTTTCAATCTGTGAACCCAAAGAAAACATAAATGAAAGTACTGTACTATAATTTGTTTCAATAATATAAGGAATGTTAAGAAAACTCCAGAAGACATTTATATACAAGAAATTGTGGTGTGAATGTGACCTGACAAAATGAGAGACTATAGTTGAAAGAGAGAGCAATCAATGCATAGAGGTAGCATAGTACCCCATAAGATTGGGATTCCCAAAACAAGAATGGAGAAATTTTGGCAAAATATAAAATATATCTTCAAAGAACCTCTCTTGTGAACAGCCCATTGTAATTTCCCCTCCAAAAGTGACCTCATTGAATAACTGCTGTACATTTTCCTTATAATTTAGCTATACTCTTAATAGTACAAAATTGTATATGTACCTGTAATACTGCTACTGAATTTTACTTGCATGTTCTTCATACAGTCGAGCCAACACCGAATAATCTCTGCTAATGCTAGTTTGGTAAAGCTTCAGACACAGGCAACGGCAGAATACATGCTTATGTTAAGCAGTCATTAAAATGTACACCCAAAGTGCAAGAGACAAAAAAAAAAAAAGTCTCAGAATGATCACCTGCCATATAACTTAAGAAAATGTCCCTCACTGACCACGAAAAGTCTAGAGAGATGCCGTGCAGTGACCAGCTGACTGTATAGACGACAGTTACTGCCGCCTGGCGGCAAGTAACTGATAAGAGTGACATGGGGGAAAACAAGTTTTGGTAGAATGTAACAGTAGAGCATTACTGTTAAAAACTTGGTAACCTGAATTCTAATAACCAGAAACTTCACATAGCCCAAATGAATGTGTGTTCAAGTTCTATTTAACCCTATCTATCCGGGAGCCGGTCGGCCGAGCGGACAGCATGCTGGACTTGTGATCCTGTGGTCCTGGGTTCGATCCCAGGTGCCGGCGAGAAACAATGGGCAGTTTCTTTAACCCTATGCCCGTTACCTAGCAGTAAAATAGGTACCTGGGTGTTAGTCAGCTGTCACGGGCTGCTTCTTGGGGGTGGAGGCCTGGTTGAGGACCGGGCCGCGGGGACACTAAAAAGCCCCGAAATCATCTCAAGATAACCCAAATACAAATTTGGGTTAAAAAACAAATACAAATTTGGGTTAAAAAGCTATATGCATCATTTTTGGATAAATTGCAGAAGTAGCTGGATAAATGGAGGAAGAAGCCAGGTAAACAGTGGGAGAAGCTGGCCAAACAGTGGGAGCAGCCGGGTAAACAACAGGAGTAACCAGGTAAATAGCCAACTCAAATGGGTGTTGGCCTCATCATATGATTTGGATTACTGAACTTACAGTATCTGGAAGCATTGATTTCAAGTATTGCTTGAAGGAGGTTTTTTGAGAGTACAGAATTTAAAATGGATCTTATGACAATCATTCAGTGCAAGATTGAGAATTCTTCAGTCTCCCCATTCTTCCATGTATGGTTTGGCAGTGCATTTAGAAAAAAAGTTTCCCATTTCATTAGAGTCGATAACAATCTGACTAAGGCCAGGATTCACAATGTCCCTGGGAAAACAGGATATTGCCTAAGTTATTGAATAGCCTAGGCTCAGAAATGATACACTAACAATAATGGTCAGGAAGACAAGTGTGTGCTACACTACAAACCTTTCCCATCTGAGGTTCCGAATCTGCTATTCCAATAGTGAGTATGACATCAGCCTGACGTATGCACCGTTGAGTCCACACTGTCAAGGAAGTGTCACACTGATAGAGGGTAACACGATGCTGGTCTTCTATGTGCCCCAGCCAAGAAATGAGTTGATACTCATTGGCAGATTCCCATATACTTGTGCCCATGGAACGCACTACATACTCTGAAGTTAGTCTCAAAGCAGGACCTGGAAACAAAAGCAGTTACAGACAAATACTAAGTACAGTACAGATTAACATTTATGACGCCTTGCAATTTCAAGAACTTTTATCACTCTCAAAATTTGTATCTCCATAGCTTGCAGTCATGGATAGAGAAACAATTTAAAGTTTAGGTGCTCAACATGATTTTAACAGCACACACTTCTAAATACTTCATGCAGCTGAATAGGTTGCACAAGTTTTCAACTTGTAAGATGAGGCATGAGCTTTCAATGGCCAATGAAATTACAGTAGTACTTATAATACAAAATCTGACATGAAACCAGCACTAATCAGTATCAAGAACATTAAAAAAAAGTAAAGTAAGTCTGAAATAACAAGACAATGAATAAACTGGGCCCAGTCTTACTTACCAATAGACAGGAGCGAGTGATACAACTCGAGGGTGAACTGGGAGAGGGGCACATCTTCAGAGATGGGAACAATAGCTACAGTAGAGTAATTACTTTGTGATGGTCGCTGTTCAATGTTCAAGCCCAGTGGTACACGTGAGGTAGTCGCCTTCCAAGAGCCTAAAGTAATAAAAATACATGTACAATTAAAATGTTTAAAACTAAATAACATTTATCATCTGCAGACGACGAGTCACAATAACGTGGCTGAAGGTATGATAAAATCTCACATTAGAAAATGGAGAAATGATAACATTTCTTTAAGACGACTTGACAATGGTCCAGGACACACCGAAACGTCGTCGTTTCTCCATTTCCTGATGTGTGCTTGGATCATAATATTTATCAATCTAAGTCATGAATTCTATTTATCAGCTACATGGTCCTAACCTTAAGATCCCCTCCGGTCTTCTCAATTTCCTGTAACCTTTTCTAACTACTTTAGTGCTTCTTGTGGTACATGTTCAGTTTGATAACTAGTTACATTATTTTGGAATATGCTAAGAATTTATTATTTGATTAAATTATATTCAGTACCAGTATAGATTACAGTACTCATAGTGGCTCTTGTATAGTTCATTTTCCTTATAAATAACATTCCCTGAAGTATCAATCAATTTATCCACATTCCAGATGCTTTATGGTGACAATTTCCCAAAATCTGCATTTATGTTGTTATATACCCATTTTATTAATCAAATCTTGTATTACACTTTGTATTTTGAATTCTATACCCTGCTTTCCGGTCGGGAGCCGGTCGGCCGAGCGGACAGCACACTGGACTTGTGATCCTGTGGTCCTGGGTTCGATCCCAGGCGCCGGCGAGAAACAATGGGCAGAGTTTCTTTCACCCTATGCCCCTGTTACCTAGCAGTAAAATAGGTACCTGGGTGTTAGTCAGCTGTCACAGGCTGCTTCCTGGGGGTGGAGGCCTGGTCGAGGACCGGGCCGCGGGGACACTAAAAAGCCCCGAAATCATCTCAAGATAACCTCAAGATAACACCTTAACACCAGCCCTTTCTTCATGCATCATTATGTATCCATACTGTTACAGATACTCCTCCTAACCTTTCAAGTACTATGTAGTCGTAATGACAGTGCTTTCTCCTGATACTGTACTTGCCTTATCTCCTAACCTATCTTTACATAATTGTCTTCCTACCTGCTAAGTAAAAAAAACAAAGGGTAATAATAATAATGAACTATATTCAATATACCTTATCTTTTATATTTGTCCCTTTCATATTAAGAAAATATGCTTCTTAAATTTAACATTTATATGGAAGCATCAAATTATTTAACAATATAAATAGTTCAAAAGTGTCTAGTACAAGGAACTTCCAGAGCTTGCCTACAAAATGTTAAATTAGGATCTATATACTTTATAGGTGAAATACTGTATAGTGAATCTTGCAGTCTATGCAAGGACTGGCAGCCGTCTATGCAAGGACTGGCAGCTGTCTATGCGAGGACTGGCAGCCGTCTATGCAAGGACTGGCAGCCGTCTATGCAAGGACTGGCAGCCGTCTATGCAAGGACTGGCAGCCGTCTATGCAAGGACTGGCAGCCGTCTATGCAAGGACTGGCAGCCGGCTATGCAAGGACTGGCAGCCGGCTATGCAAGGACTGGCAGCCGGCTATGCAAGGACTGGCAGCCGTCTATGCGAGGACTGGCAGCCGTCTATGCAAGGACTGGCACCCGTCTATGCAAGGACTGGCAGCCGTCTATGCAAGGACTGGCAGCCGTCTATGCAAGGACTGGCAGCCGTCTATGCAAGGACTGGCACCCGTCTATGCAAGGACTGGCAGTCTATGTGCAGGCAATTGTGCAAGCAAACCTATGTATTTATTTACAATAAAACTTGTTTACATAAATACAGTATCTACAAAACATTAGTCCTGACCAAGCAACCGCTGTCCTAGGAGCTTGATTAGTCTGGTCATAACAATTGGATATTTCAGCTTGATCATATTGAAGAGTCCTTCTGGCAGCTTGGCTAATTCAGAGTCTCGCACAGCCATCACTGTTGTGCTACGATCTGTCTGTGTCAACAGCTCAACCTGTTCACAAGTAAAGACTAAATGAGGCATGGCAAATGCATTTTTTGTTTAACTGAGAAATGCTCAAAATATTTTAGTTTGGCTGCAGAGATAAATAAAATAAAATTTAATCCTTAATGAATACAAACACAAAAATTTCACACTTAAAATGCCTTGATTGCAATTTTGCAAATCTTAAAATTTGATAGATGTCCCAGTGCCCTGAATGGTCATCGTCAGAATTTTTCCAGACAATAATTTAAAATGGAAAATGCTTTAATTTACTTTAATATTATACAGTGGAACCTCAGTGTACGAATGTTCTCGAGTACAAATTTTTCGGTGTATGACAACAATTTTGTTGTAAAATTTCACACAGTATATGACAGTTGCTCTGGAGTACGATGCCCTGACTGATACTTGCATAGGTCAGGCGCGTGGGTTCTGCTGGGAGTGGGGCGAGGCACACCCAGTTTACTAGTGTAAACAACCGCACTTGAATTCTCTATGAAGAATTTTGTCTTTGTGCTTTTTTTGTTTCTGAACAGAAAAGTTCTTATTATATATCATGCCATGGGTCTCAAGAAAGTCAGTGGTAAAGTTCAACTTAAGAAAATAGTTGTGAGGATGACAACAGAGGAAAAACAAGAGATCATTAATGCAACAAATATATGTTAACAATAAGCACCTTAATTTCTAAGAAACAGGAAATATAAATGCTAACCCAGATAATGTTGTAGCATATCATTGTGTTAACCTTATTAACGACAATGACAATTTGTCTCATTACAGACAAGTGTTAAAACGTAGGGAAAAACACGTATCTTTAGACAGATTCTTTGTGTGACAAACAAGCAGTGAGCCACAACCAGGTGTTAGTGGTATGCCTGCAAAACATAGGAGAGAATACACCCCAGAAATGTCATCACTGCCTGATGTTATAATGGAATGGGACTCCCCTTCCAAACACTAACACCTCTCCTCCTCCCCACCATCTTCTATATGCTAACATGAATCCTCAATAAAGGTAAGGTTTAATAAAAAGATATGAGTAGCATTCTGTATAAAATGTATTCTCAAGTTAATATTTTTGGGCGTGTGGAATGGATTAATTCATTTTACATTAGTGTACACTGTATTTCTTATGGGAAAATTTGATTCAATGTATGAATTTTAGGTTTACGATCCGTCTCTTGGAAAGGATTAAATTCGTAGACCAAGGTTCCACTGTAATTTATGTGGCAATCATGCTCCTTAATTTGAAAATTCTCCATTTTCTTAAAACAATAAGTAGTAATTTTTACAATAACAAGGCAGATTTTTTCTGGTGCTCAGACATTATTCCCAAATCCTTTACATGCTGCTTTCCTACCATGGGCAGACTTGATTGTGTTTTATACCCCGTGTTGTGTTTAACCCTTTAGTTGCGCAAGACATCATATGATGCTTTGACCGACTTGCAGTAAATTGCGCATCGCATCATATGATGCTTTGGAGTACTACGCAAAATTTAAACGGCCCGCGGGTACACAGGATTCACCACACCTTCATCAAGGCTCTTGTAAACAGACGCCATTTAAAAAAAAAATCGTGGGCCAAATTCCTGGGTGTTAGGGGCCTCAGTATTGAGTGAGCTACCAAGCCTGATGCACGCAGCATGAGCTCACAGCACTGCTGTTCAGCTTGTGACCACAGCATCGCCTAAAAATGCCATAATATACTTGTTCATGCTATTATGTAGTGATGATATTATTACAGAAGACTCTTGACTGTGATAAAACTGACCAGGGTTCTGATAATAGCAGGATTGTGGCAATATTTAGCACTGTGCTCCATGGAGAGAGGAGTAATGCTGTGGGAGGGAGGGTGGTGGCGTTGTCTTTTGAATGTGTGTGGCCACCTTTTATTGACTGCACTCACCATACCAGCTTAGTGGTTCGCTATGGTGAACATAAATGTAGATACTTATATATATAACGTGTGTATAGAGGGTATAAACAGCAATAGGAATAGGTTGGGAGCTGCCATTTTGGTGAGGGAGGTGGCGTCATCTGCACGACTTATCATGTTGTTTACTGGTGACCACTATGGTCTTTGGACACTATACCAGTTTACTTGTACAAGTATGGTGAATAAAACCGGTAGATACTTATATATAAAGTATCAATTGTAAAATCAAAGTTCCCCAAAATGTAATTATAACTAGACAAAAAGAGATGTAATATTACAAACGAGGTCCATTACAAATTAGTTCAGAGTCTGGTGGTTACACTGTACTTATTAAAGCAAACTTGTTTCCAGCTAAATTTATAATATCAAATTATATTTTTACTTACAATGCCAACAAGGTCACCTTTGCCATATTCTGCCACTACTTCTTTTCTGCCATCCTTGTGCGTGATGACAGAACGCAATCGACCACTGAGAACTATGAAGGTCGAGTCTGTTGGTTGGCCCTGTCTGTTAACAGAGAAGATGATATGAATGAGATATTGTATATTATGTCATACAGATACATGAACATATAATTCATTTGATTAGACATTCAATTAACTAAAAAATCAATTAAGTTAAACAATGCACAGTGTATTAAAGAAAACAACTAGATTTGTTTTAATCAATGTTGAACAAGGTATTTCCAGGCCACCATATCACAGGATAAAAAAAAAAAGCATTGAATGTAATGAAACGCCATTTTCTGGGCGAGTCGATCGGAAATAGAAGACAACCTATGAAGAGAGAGGAAATGCTGACAAGAATACCATGTTATGGAATGTGGAATAGGTAAACATAGACCCCACACAACCTATAAATTATGTGAGAAATCCTTAAAGAATTCTGATAAAGAAAGAGATCTAGGGGTGGTTCTAGATAGAAAACTATCTCCTGAGGACCACATAAAGAATGTTGTGCGAGTAGCCTATGCCATGCTTTCTAACTTCAGAATTGCTTTTAAATACATGGATGGCAAAATACTAAAGAAATTGTTAACGACTTTTGTTAGGCCAAAGCTAGAATATGCAGCGGTTGGGTGGTGCCCACAGACATGACACCATGAGCATAGCTCTCATCCTGTAACTACACTTAGGTAATTACACTTAGGCAATTACAAGACCCAGCTAAGTTCAAACTTGGGACGGAACCAGATGGGACTTCCTCCAGTTCACCAGGAACTAAAACCCGGCAAGCTGGGAAAGAACCACACCCCTGGTGAGCAGACTGCTGGGAGCCTACGCCAACCAGTCATCAATGTAGGCCAAAAACCTGAACCCCTAGCCGACGCAGACGGGTCAGTACGACCTGGGTAAGACGCGTGAATAGCATCATAACAAAATAGCAGCAACATAAACCGAGCATGTAAGGCGGATGCCGCCTGAACCCGAACCTCAGAAGATAATAAAATGGGTAAACTGGAGTATGAGCAGAGAACACATCTCACACGACTCCAGTTCAGAGGTGTCATTGACCCAACAGGCAGCATGACGAAGGCAAAACAGGTGACTGTCACCCAGAGACAGGGGCACAGAACAACCTTCAAACTCGCACAAGGCAAGGTGGAACTCTGAAGACACATCCATTGGTCAACCTGTTTGGTTTTCGGTTGCAATTTCTTATAAGGTGGGTTTGTTTTGTTATGTCTATCTTTCTGGGTGCCTAACCCTGGTCAATGGCAGACATGGAATGCTCCCAAACATATAGGGGTTTCCATAGGCCATTGGTCCCTGTGCCTCTCTAAGGAGAGGCACAGGGGTATGCCGGCCCTATGCCATTGTCTTTATTCTCACGTTCTTATGAGGGAAATCCAACTTTTGTGACAATCTGGCTGGGACCAAAACAGAACTAGCACAGCAGTATCAGCCATACTGGTAGAGGCTACTGACTGAGAAAGAGAACTTGCACTAATTTTTAGAAGCATGCCTCATGTTGAGGATTATTGAAGCATATTGCATGGGTGCTGATTTTTGTTGTGATGGAAAAGGAGTGACTATAAGAGAAATTTCACAGGTAAACAATGGCCCTTCCAAAATCAATCATATTCAAGATATGATCAGAATTTTGGGTGAAATCTACATTTAAAAGAAATTGCCCACTTTTGGATGTTTATCATATTTTTAAGATGGAACTTAAAGGTGACGGTTATTATTTTGTCTCAGTTGGGTTTGAGTGAAAATTAATTTTATTTTGTGGTGGTGATATCATATGGTCAACTACCAAGTTTTGTGGTACAGGTATGCACCTTGTGCATGCTGTATTGAGGAGAGTTACCAGTTGCCTATAGGATCCCTGTAAGTTAAGTACAGTATTTTTATGTTTAAAGAATTTAACGCAATGCACAGCCAACCAAAGAGGTACCGTACCCTAAAACTTTCTTACAGTAATAAGACAAATACCCTGTGCTGCCCCATGGTCTTTTTATACACTAGCAGAGAACTGTTTGAATAATACAAAATACACAAATTACTGTACAAACAAACAAAAGAAAGACCTTTGGAAGAAGACTTTTCCCCTGGACATTAATAAACCAAGTCTTTGAACTGGCTAAACAGCCCAATGACAAGTGACACAATTATTATCCTGTTAAAATATATGTTCTTCAGAGTAATGTTTTATGCTTTAGTATTTATTAAGTATGTGAAATAATAGGCAAAATTATGGTTATAGCAGCATAACAAGAATTTTACTGAACAATAAAGTGCTATCTTAATGCAATTCTTTTGTACATTAAACAAAATTTGTAGTTGATCTTACTTGTACAGAGCTCTTCCAGCTTCTAAGTGCTCCCAGTCGAGAGCAAAGTCAATCTGGCGCACGAAGGGTGACATGCGGCGGATGACAGTGTTGGCTATATGTAATACTACTTCAGGCGTTTCCTTGATAATTCTGTCAAACACAAAAAATAAGCAACTAATCATTCCTGCAATAGCATGCAGGAATTTTTCATAAAAGGTCCATTTTTCCATTATCTTTACACCTTTACACCACCTACATCTTTGGGATGTGTAACAAAAAGGAGGCCTTGTTGAGGACTGGGCCGCGGGGACGCTAAGGCCCAAAATCATCTTAAGATAACCTTAAGAAAACACACACACACACACACACACACACACCTTTAAATATGCCAGATATCTTTCAAACATATTAATTTACCATAATCTTGCTACATCTTAATGCATATTAAGAAATTATGAACCCATATTATATACCTAAAATTTTCTACATTCTTTAACACTAGAATAATTACATTTTGTGTTATCTCTGCAAATTTCTTTCATTATTGCATACACTCATATTTCTGGGCTACCCCCCCTTCCCCCTTAGAAGCTCCCCCGGTGTTTAAGAAATGTTACAAGACCCTATGGACTTGTGTACTTTACTGGAAACCAGAAATAAAATCTTCATTGCTCATAAAGGCAATGAGAGCAGTGGATCAGAGATTGAACCAAAACAAAACAAGCCTCCCAGAAGTCATATTTAAAACAAAATGAATTAAATGCTAATACTGTAATAAAAGAAAAGTTATGAAATAAGGCAAATCCACAAGAGCCGTGCCGAGGATTCGAACCTGCGTCCGAGAGCACCCCAGACGCTGCCTTAATCGACTGAGCTACGACATGGCCCTTGTGGATTTGTTCATTTGATGCATCGCGCAATTGTGATTTCTGTGTGTGTGTGAAACAAGGCAAACAGTAGTTAACAGCAGGTAAACAAGACTAGCTCTAACTCGCCCAACTGCCACCAAATAACAGCCCAGGTCACCCAGGATATCGGCTTGCCTCTATCCTCAACCATATGCATCATTCTGAGCGAAGCACATCTTCCCCAGCTGGACCCATTATTTCTGCTAACGACAGCTAAGTAGTGGTGGTGCTCCTTGGAACATTCAGTCCTGTGGGAGGCCATGCTTTAGGTATTGGTTCTTATTAACTATAATATGTTAATGCATCTTTAGTTCCCTAGCCAATTATTTTGTTCCAACTCAGGTTCAGTATTATCTTCCTTTGCATCAAATTGTGTTTCCCTTTCCTCATCAGACTCATCTCCTCTAAGGGGTCAGGTGTCCTCTCCTGGTCAGATCTTTTCGATTGTTACCACATCCAGGTAGTACTCAGTACTTAGTCCCCAAAGCATGACTTGTTATTAATAGTTAGTTGTGCGGTATATTTTGTGTAGTGCCCAACTCATAGAATTGTGTGTGTGTGTGCTGGGGGCTTTGTGCCTTCCTCTGAGAGCACTTGGGTTGCCATTAATAAATTTGTCTGTCTGGCTTGTATGCCTTCCCTACTCACCACATTGACAGGGTTCACAGGGTTGATTTCCGACAACACTTTTCTTGCATCTGGATCATCTATCCATTTATTAACGGCTTAGACAACCATTTCCCATGCACCTGGGCTGGTTGTTTACCTCATTCCTCACTCTCCATACTCTTGTTAACTCCATGAGTGAGCCAGAGTTTGATTCTGGTTTCCATTTCAGTGTGCAAGTCCAGAGGAGCTACCAAGTGACCAAGAAAGGGGGCAGTTTATTTCTTTCAACATTTTGTTTTTAAGAGTTCTATCCCCAGCCATATATACTTGCAGTACTCCTTACTACAATGTTCAATTTACATTCATTCTTGACTTTTACTCTTCCCATTCAACATTAAAGATACCCAAGACTTTATTAAATCTATTATAGTTATTGTATACTGTTCTTTTATTTAGTCCTCATTTAAATAATCAAACATGAGACTTGTTGCTTTCACTAATTTTTTAAGTGCTCTAGCATGCACTTTAAAAAACACAGTTGTGGAATAAAAGAATGAAAATTTTCAAAGGATACTCACGCATAAAATGTTTCTTTGGTGATGGTTGCCACACGAGCAGTATGTTTCGCCTTGATTGTGAAAAATGAGGGATCTCCAGACAATACAGCTAGGCCGCCAACAAGATCTCCAGGGTGAGCAGTGAAGAGCTGAATGAAGCCCGAACCTTCAGGTGACTGCTGAGATACCATCAAGGAACCTGTGAGTATGTAAACAAGTGCTGCTTCTTTCATGGAATCTTGTTTCATCAGGAAAGAACCAGTTGGAATATCTCTAACTTCAACAGCACCTTTTAAGATTTTGTCCGATTTCAGATGCATCAAAGCTTGAAATTTTTCGGTTGCAATTCTCAAGGAGTTTTCGTCTTTCTCATCCTTTGGGTCGACTAAGACTATTTTTCGGGCACTATTCTGTCTGACAGGTGTCTCGGGGCCTCTTTGGTCTCCATCATCTTCCCCCTCACCATCAGGAGTAGACCCACTATCACGCTTCACCTTGCCAGGGGATAGTGATGGGGCCATGTTGCTGGAGCTTCCTCTCCTCGGTACCTACACAAATATGCTCGTCAACGTCTCTGTCCACAATACTAAACTTCAGTAGTTGTTGACCAGACCACACACTAGAAGGTGAAGGGACGACGACGTTTCGGTCCGTCCTGGACCATTCTCAAGTCGATTGTGAATGGTCCAGGATGGACCGAAACGTCGTCGTCCCTTCACCTTCTAGTGTGTGATCTGGTCAACATACTTTAGCCACGTTATTGTGACTCATCGCCTTCACTAGTTGTATATTATATTGGTGTGTGTAAAAAAAAGTAAGTAAATGTATTTGAACTGAACATGACAATTCATGAGGAGCTCTGACCAACTCATTTTAAGTGAGGTATTGATGTGGATGACTGCTGGTACTGTAGAGTGATGGTGCTTGTTCATCTATATAGCCTAAATGATATATCTATTTTTTTAATATAACCAGTATAACAAGAAATTTACTATACTGTATATTAATCTTTTTTTTGAGATTTAAAATCAAAGAGATGAGGTATTCAAAATGAACAAATTATCTATCGTGATAAGTTAGCAAATGTCTTAACTATTATGCCTGGTATTGACTGACATAACAAGGTGACATACCATACTTAGAATCTTCCTCAAATATTTCAAGATAATGTGTAATGGAATGAAAAAAAAAAATAGGAACCACAGTTCTTCCCCATCTGAACCTTGGTCTTTAAGGTATGAGAACTGTTCAAGTCTAAAATTATGATCAACTTTTCAAAAATTTATTTAGGCTCACTTGATGTAGTCACCAGAGATGGATACACAAAAATACAGAAAAAGAATGCCTATTAAATGACTTAAAATAGATGGGAGTCAAACTTCATTATGCTGAATAATGTACTTCATTACACTGAATAATGTAGACTAATTGCAGATAAGATTAGACAATTATTTACATGGTTATCATGGTTATAGAGAGAAACAAAGGAACAAAATAGATAAACATCCTAGTTAAAAGCTCATGGCTTCAGTAAGAATAGGAGGTAATTATTCAACATATTAAAATTCATCTATGCTCTAACTGAAATTTTTTTATTTACAAATTTGAAAGCACACTTAATTAATACAATTACTGTAATTCAAGCAGCTAATTAATATAGCTTTACCAAGTAGGTGATCCACCATGCACTGGTCTCACACACACAAACAGTATAATAAGCTCATACTAACCCTGTTGATAAGTTCAGAAGAAAGTCCCAAGTACTGATGCAAAGCCATGAAAGTGACGCGCATCAAACGCACCATTATAATTTGCACCACCCGGACAAACATATCAGGGTACTTCCTAAACGTTTCCTCAAATGCCTTCACAGGAAATTTCATGACTATAGAATCTATCTCGGCTTTAGCTCCCACGGTTTTGTACGGCTGAGGGTGGCCGGTGAGCACGTCGCAGAAGGACAAGAGGGAGATGATCGACTCCCCTGGCAACACCTCCTTGAGGGCCAGAGTGGTACCATCAGGCTCGTTCACAAACACAGTAAGCTGCCCAGTCTGAACTATGTAGATATTTTCATCATTCTGTCCTGTATGAATGAAACACATTGTGCTTTGAAAAAACTGTCCTCGCTGGCACACTATTAACTTCACAACATTTGTAATTGGAGGTCATGCAAACATCATTCTATAAGCAATGAAAATAATCAGTTGTATACGTTAAAAACTACACTGACCACAGTACAACATTTGTAAAGATTTAAATATTTAACAACTAAAGTGTTCAATATTTTCATGATTTAACATTTGCATTAATTTACTAAAGCCAAAAAAGCTGTAAAATAAAAATAATAAAGCCACTGAACCTTAAAACTTTGATACAAATAATTAAAAATAATTAACACACATTATAAATCCTATAATCACATCACTAATAAAACCTATTAATAAACTAAAGAAACTTGTACATTACCCCTTAAACAACTCCCATTACTGTCTGCAATTACCTCCTGTGCTCCAAATTGCCATATCAGATTGATCTTTATGGATAATGAGTACAGTACTTATTTTTTTACATACTCACCACAAGGTAAGACTTGCTTTTTTTTTTTTAATTAACTTAGCCGTTTCAGGATTAAGGATGTCTGGCTATTAACTATTTCTCAAGGTAGTAACGATCAAACTGCCACTGCACTATACTAACCCACACAAAACAGTGTCTGTCCCTTGTAGAGATGAATGGTCTGGACACTCTTACACAGCTCAAAAAATAATGGCATGTCAAAGTGGCCAAAAACTCTGGAAAGAAAACATAGTTTCATTTTAAATATGCAAGCTCATCTTTCATTACCTAACAGTTCAAGATCATCTGAATGAAGAATTCAATCCCTTTGAAAAAAAATTTATTGTACTTATATTTAGTTGGTCATACTAATGACCAACTTTAGTTGCTCTTGTTCCAAGGCAACCTGGGACACGCTAAAGCATTCGCTTTGAAAGCTTGCCAGCGTTTTTCTTTAATTTTTTTTCAGTTTTTAGTTCAATTTGAAAAAACAATTCAGACAATGCCTGACCTAGAGTTTGATTTCAAAATGATTACCAAACCAACAAAGCTCTTTTGATTTAAGTCAACATTAATGATAACATACTGTATATGTAACTATTCAAGCATCTTCCGATGTAATTTATAATTTCTTTAACAATTTCAACGATTATTGACAGGTTTAAGCAATATATATTTGCTATAAATTCATTAAAACTAATTCTCATTTAGGTTTATCTGCACATTCAAACACGTAAGCAAGTTCATTAGCCAGAGTATGTGTGCAAACTAGGAATGTGACCTAAAGAGTATTTTACATGTGTAAATCATGACATACTATACTGTACCTCTCCCTTTACATTCTTAAGACTTGTACGTGGTGCTTAAAGATAACCTCAGCAGCCCAAGATCTTGGAGTCTGTATGACAAAGCAATATGTTGTTCTCACAATTATAGGAACCACACAAGATTGTTTCATCTCCTGACACAGGAAACCTAACAATCAAATAGATAAATCTCATCCCTGCAAAAATGCTACAATACATATTGTTTAGTACACAAGATTGAGTTTGTGAAATGCCTGCAGAATTGTTACTAAATTTACACCATAGCTTTCAGTATACACCACCAATCATCATCAAAGCTCCAGCTTACTGTATAAAACCAGCGTTGAATTTAATGAGACTATTTTCTGGGTGAGACCCGGAGGCTTCCTGGAGCTTATCCAGGTTGATATGCTAATGTCAGACTTTGGCATCAGTCATGTGTATGGAGTTCTGTGGGCCTACTGGGGACCACGAGCCAAAACCTGGCCCCCCTCAGAGAGGCATGGGAAGCAATGGCCTATGGCAAGGACCTCTAGAAAACTTCATACTGCCGCCTAGAAGCCCCCAGGTGGGATACTAACAAGGAAGCCACCTGATCACCATAGAGATGATGATAAACTAGAGTAAAAAATACCATACGCGAAGACTCGAGAAGATCGAACCAGCCATGTGACGCACCAGTTCAATCTGCTGAAACAGCCCAAGCCACGGAAAAATCTCCGGGTTCAGTCACCAGTTACCACAGGGCCAAGAGGACTACTCTACCCTGATAAGTCTCCAAGCGAGTCGGGACCTGGAGCAAAAGCTGAACCGGGGGAAAGAGGTACAGGAACCCCCACCTCGACCAGTTCTGCCGAAAGGCATCGCCCCCGACGGCCTTGGAGTCGGGAAAGGGCACTACATACAAGGGAAGGCGCCTCCACCACACTGACATGAAGAGGTCCACCTCAGGGCACCCGAACGTCCGGCAATGCCAAAGGAAGGAGTCGGCGTCGACCGTCCATGCCATAGAAAGGGGAACGAAATGAGACAGGCCGCCGGCCAGGAAGTTGGACACTCCCCACATGTGAACAGCCAGGAGAGCTAAACCCTGAGAACTCAGCAGACGAGTCACTGGAAGCAACCAGCACCAAAGAGCCAAGGATCGCATCGAACCCCCCGGTTCAGGCATTGGACCACTGGGGAGCAATCCGAATGGAGCCGGATCATTGATCCGAGGGCGACCTGAACCCTTGACAGCGCAAACCACACCGCCGCGAACTCTCGCACTGTGCTGTAGGCCTGACGGAAGGACAAAAAGGTGAGACATTCTAAGAGCCTGGGCCCAGACAGATTCCAGAGAGGCGGCAAGCACCGCCTGCCTACACACGAGCCGGGAAGCATAAAACAGGGAAAAGGCATCCCGCAAGATCAGCGCAAAAAGCTTCAACAAGGCAGCCGACAAGCGAGCCGCCAAGCCAAAGGCACTGGACCCAGGAATAGCCCCAAGTGTCCCCACATGCTCTGCAAGGCAGTCCGAAGACAGCTCCAGGAGAGAAAAGAAACGCAAGGCTGAAGCCAAAAGGCCACGGGTGCGTGAGTCCTCAGCAACCTGTGTCGCCGAAAGGGAGGGAATCTGCACATGGAGCTGTAGCATGCCAACATCCCGGGGAAGGGCCGGGGCAAACAAACACTCATTGAGGTGCTCAATGTTGCTCCCAGGAAAACCTGAACCACCGTGGAAGCCTCGCGCCACTCGAGCGTGCGGGTATGACAGAAGGAATGCCAAGCTTCCAAAGCAAACACAGGAGAGTCCGCCAGCCAGGACGACTCCAGAACCTCGTAATGGACCCAGAAAGGGAACGACGGCCCAAACCTGAAAGAAGACGGAACCATAAGCGAGGCATAATCCAGGTCACACAGGAGGTAAGCCGTCAGGGCCACCCGCACCGCAGACTGTAAGATGCAGTAAGCTGAAAACCTCAGGAAGGACAGAACCGACACACCAGGGAGGGACATGGAACCGAACCCAGGGAGGGGCGGACACCAAATCCAACAAATATGCAGAGGGGGGATAAGAGAATCCCACCCCTTGTAACAGAATGCCCCACTCAGAGGGCAGAAAAACCCAGGCAGGGTCCATTGGGGCCCAAGGCCCCCAAATCAGGCCCTCCCTCTGTCACCACACTTACCACACCCGAAGGGCCTTCCCCCGAAACTGCCCGAGTCTCAAGACCAGCTAAACCCTGCCCCGACTCAAACTCTCACACGATTCGGGGCCGGAAGCCGGGGGGGCGAGGGGACCAGGAGACACCTCGACAGGGGAAGGACGAAGGGGTGCAGACTGAACCAAGGTTGAAGCGACCCCCACCAGCAAGTCTAGGTCACTATAAGCAAAACGGGATAGCCTCGGAGCATCTGGGTGAGCAACCAACTGAGCGCGTTGCAACAACCTAAAGCGCATATGTAACGCCTGCACACCCTGTACCCGTAAAAGATCATCATTAGACTGGGTAAACTGAGTCACAAGCAAGCAACAGAACTTGCAGGACTCCTGGTCAAAAGTGTCCGACCCAACAGGCAGCATGACGGAGGCAAAAACAGTGAGAGTCACCCTGAGACAAGGGGACAGAGTAACCCTCAAACACACCCCCTGGTGTTTCCCAGGGTCCTGAGATGGTACTCACACTCAGGGAATCCCAGGCAGGGTACTGCTAACTGGCGCCCAAAACTACCAAGCAACTTCCTAAAGCTGAACCCCAGGGACGTGTACACTCACAGGGACCTAGCAAGGGGCACCACCAGAAGAACCATGTCAGGTCATACACCAAGGGGCAACCAAGGCAGACCCCCCTCCCTCTACAAGGCAAAAAGAAAAACAAAACCCTGCAAGAGGACAATATACTCCAAGGAACAGAGCCAGCCGCTTTGAACGGTGAAAATAAGCTGCGCAGCACCCTGTGCCCCGTACCAGTGCAAACCGCTTCTTACCCTAAGGTAAACAAGGGAGACAACACCCAGGCACCCAAAGGGCAGCCGAAAAACTGAGCAGATAAACAGCCCATCAGAGGCAAACCCCAAGGACCTTGTGGAAGGGAACCCCAAGCCTCAAGGGCAGCACTTACAGGGCACCTAGGGAAGGTAACTCTAGGTGCATGCAGCCTACTGAAGAATAACCCCTGGCTCTCGCACCCCTGGAAGACAGCCATCACACTCGAAGTACAGTGCTGAGCCAGAGCACACGACCTCTGCCTCTAGCATCAGCCTTAGAACTGACGGGTGGATAGCCGGCATGGGGTGTGGGGCTTCTCCTTCCTCCTCCCAGGGAGAGGGAAGCTGCGCAGACAGCGGCGCGGCGACGTGTGACGCCATGCTCGTTTGCTTGTTTCTTTTTTGGAGTTCTATCCACTTGTTCGGCTTTTGGTAGCAAATTTTACCAGAATAGAGGTTAGTTTTGGGATGCTTACCTTTCTGGGTGCCTGACCCAATCGATGGCAGACATAGAATGCTTCCAATCACACACGGGTTTCTATAAGCCATTGCTCCCCATGCCTCTCTGAGGGGGCCAGGTTCTGGCTCGTGGTCCTCGGTAGGCCCACAGAACTCCATACACATGACTGATGCCAAAGTCTGACATTAACATATCAGCCTGGATAAGCTCCAGGGTCTCCGCCCCAGAAAAACCCACACATCTGCAGGGAGCAAAGACTACAACATGCATACCATGCAAGCCAATTCTTGTGAGCATTACTCACTTGCTGCATATGTCATAGTGATTGCTCCAAATTTTGCATGCAATATGCATAGTTCTGTGCCTCCCTGCAGCTAGGGTATCTATCATAATTGTAACAACTGGCTCTTAACGACTGTGTAATTCTTACGTCATATTAGCAGGCAAGAAGAGCTTTATATGGTGCTTTATATAAGTGCAAAGTGACAATCAAAGAAAGCCCAGCCTCTTGTGTAACAGCTTAACTGAAAGGTTAATTCAGGATTATCACTTCAATCTTTTTTTCTTGACAAACCAAGTTAATTTCTTTTTTTTAGTGGGAAATTGTTAGGACTCTCAAAACTATATTTTCACACAAGTTCCTAACAGTGTAGTTATGGTTCTGCTATGCAACAGATTAATGAATGCAACCACATGTACTAGTTGGTGATACAATGTTTCTAAATGACAATGTGGTGTAAAGTTGCAATTGCAATGGAGTATTATTGTTAACAGATAAAACAATCCATTTATGTAACATTTTATAACAGTTATTCTTTCAAAGTTAAAATAAGCCAATGTCAAACATGGGTCAGCTAACCAATGACAAAAACCCAAACTAAATAAACCTATTGAGTAATTCACTTAACAAAATATTCTTCTGAGTAATAAATTATAACTAAACTGTGAAACTGTGACCAAAAACCTGATAGAGAAGATTATACAGCACAACCTCGATTCA